TGTCATTTCGTAATTGTATTTCTTTATCATTTTAGGGTCTGTTTGAATTAATGTGAAAATTAAACAAAAACTAAAAGCAAAAACAGAAATAGAAAGAGTTCGATTTTGTGTTTGATGGATCGTTACAAAAGCAATTTTTTTATAAAAAAAACTATTGTGATGTAATAGAGTTCTTTTAAATGGTTAAAATTAATAAAAAAAAAATGCTCTTATTATAATTATCTTTTTCTATAAAAATTTTATAATTTATTTTTAAATTTTATTATTTATATTTAAAGATTTTAAATTAAAATATAAAAAAGTATTCTATTTGTCATAATTCAAAATATAATTTTAACTATTTTCGTATGTCCAACTTCAAATATCTCTTTTCTATTTTACAAAAAGTTAAAAGTAACCAGGGGCTGTGGGTTCCCACGTTATAAAAAAAAAAAGTATTATATACTAATACCAAAATACCTTTAACTTTTATTTAAATTACAAATATAAGATTATACGTACAATTACTTTATACATAAAGTCAACGAACAAAAATGTAAAAAATTGTTACACATTTTCACTAACGTAATATTATTTTTAATCTACTACAAAATTTCAAATGTTATTTATGTTTTAAAATTTTAATTTAAAAATATATATAAATTAAAATTAAAATTAAAATCTAATATAATATAATATTAAATTAAAATTAAATTTTAATTCAAGTATAAAATATAAATAAAAATAATAATATAATTAAAATTTTATTGATTTTTATTAAAATATAATATATAAATTAATTATTTTATAGTATTATTATTAAGAAGGATAATATTTTATTTTTAGTTGAAAAATGTTTCTACTTATTTAAAATTACCTTCAATATACTTCTGGAAAAAAAAAAAGAAAAAAAAATTATTTTTCAACTTAAAAATTGTTTCTATTTTTGGACAAAAGCCAATGTAAATATACAAATTGTTTTCTCCTGCCAAAAGCCAAACTAGACTAGGTTAGTTTGTAACGGAAGGTTGTCTTAAAACAGTCATATAAGTGAAAATTTTTCACATATTTATTCATCACCGGAGATGCTTGATTCATCACCGGAGATGCTTGTATAGAATACCAGAGGATATGTGTCTGTCAAATCAGCACCACCTGATGAACACGAAGATAATGTTTATTTTTCTTATTTTTTATTTTATTTTTAAAAATATAAAAAATAGAAAAATAAAATAGAAAATATTGTTTTTTTTTAAATTTTATTTCATTTTTTATAATTTTAATTTTCAGTTTTTAATAATTTATGTTTTATTTTATTTTAAATTATATTTTATATTTTATATTTTATATATTTTGGAAATTTTTTTTATTTTTTTATTTTTTATCATATATTTTAATTTTTTTATTTTCATTTTATATTTATATTTTTCATTTTTTAATTTTCTTTTATTTTATTTTATTTTAAATTATATTTTATATTTTATAATTTTATTTTTTATATTTTTAAATTTTATTTTTTATATTTTATATTATTTTTAAAAAATAAAATATATATAAAAAATAAAATTATTCATTCGCCAAGTAACTTTGAGCTGACAAAAACGTGTCATCCGGCAAGACAAACGTTAGATGAATTAAATATACAAAAAATTTTCAAGACTATTTAAATACAATCTCCTTATGCAGTTTACTTACTACTACTATTATTATTATTATTATTATTATTAATTTTTATTATTATTTATGTTTTTATTTTTTACGTAGCAATCCAAAATGTTCTCCAAATAATATAATGGGCTAATACAATCCATTGAATGAATGTTAGCACAGCCCAAACAAAAAGTTTATATATATAATGACCTTGAGGAAAAAAAGTTAGATTAAACAGAAAATATTATGAAACACATCCCAAAAGAACCTGTAGATATGTGTTTGATGATTGAATTTGATGTCCAATTTTAATTTGAAGAATTATTTAACATGATATAAATAAACATTATCTGTATAAACGAAGACTAGACGATACTCGTTGCTATGCACAGTGTAATCGACGAAAAAAAAATTATAAATACTCATATTGTATATAATCAGTGAAAAAAATTGCAATATTCATAGGTTGAATTTTATCGTATTTTCGTATTATAATTTTTTATATATTATGTGCATTTTTCATCTTTTTTTTTAAAAGATAGTATTAATAAATTATACATGTATATATATCTTGTATAAAACGGTAAAAAAAAAATAGAAATTAAATTGTGTTTGATTGTAGATTTACATAAGTTTTTTACTGTTCTTACCATTTATTATTATTTTTTTTTTTATAAAATCCATGAAATCAAATATTTCCTCTAAAATTTATGAAATATTTCAATACTAAAATTAAATTTTAATGTAATATACTGTGAATTTCATGTTATTCTTATTATTATTTTTGTAAATTATATATATAAAAAAAAAACATGTATAAAATTAGAGGAGGAAAAAAGTAATAAATACAAATAAATATTTGATTTAATATTTTTTTTTCGAAGAAATTCAAGTAATAGTAAAAAACCTATAAAAATCTACAACCAAACACAATTTTACTTTTTTATCTAACATATATATATATATATACATTTGTGTATAATTTATTAATACTATTTTTTAAAATGATTAAAAAATAACCTCGTGCTTAGTTGTAGGTTTTTATATATTTTATTTTACTATTTCTATAAAACTTCCTATAAAAAATTATTAAATCAAAAAAGAAATTTATTTATTAATTTCCTCATCCTCAATTTTATACATATTTTTTCTTTATAATTTATATATTTATATATATAAAACTATAAGATTTGAGATGTTTAATTTTGTATTTTTAGCAAATTCTTTTTTATTTATTTTATTTTATTTTTGATAAATAATAAATTTTTTGTAAAATATGATAAAAGAACCTACCATTTTTTTCCGAAACATTACATAAATTTAAGAAAAGTATTTATTTAAAATATTTTATAAGAAAATTTGTGAGAATACTGAAAGATCTTATAAAAACCTACCAACTAAACACAACCTTAAGATTTTAAGGTTTTTTTTTTTTTTTAAATAAAGTAGATTTATAATTAAAATACCATGTAGAGAATATATATATATATATAAACATATATATAGAAAATTATATGTTTATATATAATAATTAATAAAGACATAGGTTAAAAATGAAAACTGTTGAGAGAAGAATACATTATCAATTTTCTCTTTATCGGAAAATATTAATATATATCTGACATATCACGATATTGCCACATAAAAATGCAATAATTAAAAAATATATATATATCTCAATATCAAAATTAAAGAAATAATTTTTATATTAATACATAAATAAACAAACAACTTACCAACAATATATAATCATTGATCTATTTTAAAATCTGCACTACAAAGAAAAAAAAAAATCAGTAAATGAGACGAATAGGAATTATATACACACAAACATAAAACACTATCATTTAAATAATGAAATAAATTTATTGTATATTAATAACAATTATTTAATGTAATATATGATAAAAACTACTAAATATGTTTTACCTAATTTTTTATTGTTACAAAATGTTATAATATAGAAATAATATATCCTAATTTAAAATTTATAATAAAATCGTAATTTTTTTTAAGAAAATAATTGAGCTAAATTTCAATATTTATATTATAATATAAAATTAATATGTTAAACTTTTAACAATATTTAATAATAATTTTAAATTTCATTTAAAGCTAATTTTGTAAATTAATTAAAATTATATATTATTTTTATTTTTTAAATATAGTTATAAATTGGAATATTTTTAATAAATAAGAAAAATAATTTTATAAATATTTAAATAGATTAATAGAATCATTTTATCAAATAAAAAATAATTATTAAATTAAAATTATATTTGTATTAAAATTGAATATATAAAACACATTCTTGTATAAATTAAAAAAAAATCACTTTATGAATATTTAAATAGATTGATTGAAACAACAAAAAAAATAATTATTAAAAATATATGTTTATATTTAAATTGTATAGAATAAAATAACAGAAAATATAATCAATAATCAAATTTATTGTAAAAATATTTAAATATGTTAAGAAAAATACTATATCAAACAATCAATAAATAATACTCCCTCAGTCCTAATACAATAAATTTGTTTACTATTCCAAAACAATAGTCTTATTTTCATAAATAACTATATCACCATAAAAGTATCCATATTTTTTCATTATTATTACACAATTGCCACTACTTTTTACACTAATATACTCACAGGGTCAAAAAAGTTATTTATCGTTACTTTTTACCACTGCCAATAAAATCTCAATATTCTTTAAATCTGGTGTCCAACACACAAGACTATATTTTGGTGACAAATGGAGTAATTATTAAAAATTAATTGTTTGCATTTAAATTACACAATATTATATTATATCTTATAACCAATAAAATAAATAAATCAAAATTCAAAACTCCTATAAAATAAATGCAATGACCAATCAATAAATTTAAAAAGAAATTCAAAATTCTTCAAAATTCAAGCTTTATATTATGATGGAACTAGAGCTGTTAAACGAACCGAGCCGTTCGTGAATTCGGCTCGGTTCGGCTTGATTCGGCTCGATTAAAGCTCGTTCGCGAACATTAACGAGCCGAGTCGAACAACATAAACAGGCTCATTTGGTTAACGAACGAGCCCGAGCTTTGTTCGCGAACGTTTATTTAAATAATATATTTATTATAAATATTATATGTTAGAAATTTTGGAGAAAAATAATGAGATTGTCTTATTATCGTCAAAATAAGTAGCCTATATATAGGCCATACAAAATAGACTCGATAGACTCAAATCTAAGTAATCTAATCTATGAATAAAATCAAATCTAGATATAAATCTACTAAATCTGAATATCTAAAATATCTCAACATCCCCCCTCAAACTCAAGATAGTGCAGTAGAGACCAACTTGAGTTTGTCCAAAAGTAATCAGAAACGGCCTGGAAGAAAAGATTTGGTAAAGATATCTGCTGTCTGATCTTCAGAAGATACTAGAATGAGATGAACTACTCCATTGACAACATGTTGTCGAATAAAGTGACAGTCAAGCTCAATATGCTTGGTGCGCTCGTGGAAGGTATCATTATGGGCCATCTTCATAGCACTCTGACTATTACAGTGAAGAGCCGTAGAAGATGGTTGAGGGGCACCAAGGCCAGTGAGTAGCCGTCGAAGCCATAAAAGTTCTGAAGTAGAGTCAGCAAGAGCACGATACTCTGACTCGGCATTTGAGCGAGAAACTAAAGTTTGCTTCTTGCTGCGCCAAGAAATGAGAGAATCACCTAGGAAGAAGGAGAAACCAGTGGTCGAGCGTCGATCGGTGGGATCACCAGCCCAATCAGCATCAGAGTAACCGCTGAGAGTCAAAGAGGAGTTAGAGGAGAACTGTAAGCCATGCAGAAGAGTACCTTTCACATAACAAAGAATATGTAAGACGGCAGAGTGGTGAGAGGTCCTCGGAGCTGCCATGAACTGACTCACAATATGGACTGCATGAGCGATATCTGGTTGAGTGACAGTCAAATAGATCAAACTCCCAACAAGTTGACCATAAAGAGTAGGATCATCAAGAAGAGAACCATCATGAGGAGTAAGTTGAACGTCGTACGCAAGTGGTGTAGATGCTACCTGACAGTCTGTGAGACCAGCTCGAGCAAGAAGATCGGAGGCATACTTAGCCTGGGACAGAAAGAAACCATCGGGAGAATCAGAGACTTCAAGCCCCAAAAAGTAACGAAGGGGACCCAAGCTCTTCATCTCAAACTGCTGGCTAAGATATGCTTGTAGATTAGAAATACCAGATACATCATCTCCCGTGATGATCATATCGTCAACATAAAGTAAGAGTATAACTATCCCTGATGAAGAACGACGAAGAAATAAACCAGAGTCGTAAGCACATGTGGTAAAACCAAATTCCAATAGTGCAGCGCTGAATGTGGCATACCAAGCCGAGGGGCCTGCTTCAAACCATAAAAAGCACGACGCAAACGACAAACTTTTCCAGAAGACAAGAAACCTGGAGGAGGGGTCATATAAACTTATTCAGAAAGTGTGCCATGGAGGAATGCATTCTTGACATCTAACTGAAGAAGGTACCATTGACGAACAACCGCAACGGCAAGAAGACAATGAACAGTAGTGAGACGAGCAACATGAGCAAAGGTCTCCTCATAGTCAATTCTATACTCTTGGGAATAACCTTTGGCCACCAGACGAGCCTTGTAGCGCTCAATGGAACCATCAGAGTGTGTCTTAATTTTAAAAATCCACTTGCACCCAATAGAGGTTTTTCCTGAGGGCAAATCCACTAAATCCCAAGTGTGAGTATTTTCCAGAGCCTGCAATTCTTCAGTCATAGCTTGCTGCCATAATGGATCAGCATTCGCCTCACGAAAGGACCTAGGTTCATGTTGAGATAAAATGACAGAGTAACAATGGTAATCATTAAGGTGTGAAGGAGGTTTACTTACACGAGTGGAACGACGACAAGTAGGGAGAGGTGTAGGAGTAGACATCGGCTCAGGAGGCGCAGGCGGATTAACTCCAGGAGACGGTGACAAGACAGATTGATCAATGAGCTGTGGTGAAGAAGAGGAAGAGGTTTCTGGGAAGAGATCGGAGAGTGAAGACGAAAAGAAGGGAGAAGATGAGTGAAAAGATGTACTAAACTTGGATAAGGTGGAGAAATATGTGCGGTCCCAAAAGGTGACATGACGAGATATGCGCAATCGATTAGAAATAGGATCCCAACATCTATAACCCTTGTGTTCGTCGCCATAACAAAAAACAAAAAATATACAAGCTCGAGGTTGAAGCTTTGTCCGCTCATAGGGAGGGAGGAGGACAAAGCACACACAACCAAATGGATGGAATAAACTATAATCAGGAGACTGACCAAATAGACGCTCGAAGGGACTGACATCATGGAGGACTGACGAGGGTAACCGATTAATGCTGTAAACAACAGTTAAGGCTGCTTCCCCCTAAAAACGATCAGGACACTTAGCAGAAAGAAGGAGGGCACGAACAGTATCGAGAATGTGACGATATTTGCGTTCTGCCCGCCCATTCTCTTGAGATGTATAAGGATAGGAACGCTGTACCAAGGTACCCTGACTAGATAAAAACTGCAAAAATGATGACGTATTGTACTCACAAGCATTATCAGTACGAAGGACTTTAATAGGACGGGAGAATTGAGTGTGAATCATCTGAGCAAACTGAGCATATATAGAAGGTAATTCAGAACGATTTTTCAAAAAATAAATCCAAGTAAATCGTGAAAAATCATCAATAAATATAACATAATACTGAAAACCACTGACGGAAGCAACAGGAGAAGGACCCCAAATGTCAGAATGGACTAAAGAAAAAGGCTCAATAGCAATATATGAACTTTCTAAAAAACTAAGAGCAGGTTGCTTTCCAAGTTGACAATCGACACACTTAAAAGACTCAAAACGACCTGGACCTAAAAGACCTTTAGTATGGAGTGATTGGAGCTTACTGAAAGACGCATGACCTAGGCGAAGATGCCAATGAAGACTAAAGGAATTAGAGGTAAGAGCCGCAGAGCGGGGATATGCACAGGAGGTATAAAGAGACTCAAGCTCAAATAACCGAACCGTTTTGCATCCCGTCCCGAGAAGTTGACCCGTCTGAGAATCCTGAACCTGCACACCACAAGAAGAGAATGTAACGGTAAGACCTTGTTCAACTAATTGACCAATAGAGATAAGATTTAAGGCTAAGTCAGGGATGCAATATGTATAAGAAAGATATAGGGAAGGGGAGGACGCAAGACTGGTATGGGTAATATGCATGGTAGTACCATTGGCAGTATGTATGGGTGGTAAATGGGAGACAGGGGACATATAGGTCAAGTTACGAGGGTTAGAGGTCATATGGTGACAACAACCAGAATCAAAATACCAAGTAGATGTACCTGGAGTGGTAGACATAGCAGAATTGGTTTGCATAACCTGTTTGATGATGGCTTCTATGTTGTGAGGATTGTAAGGCGCATGCTGAGTCTCATCAGTAGTAGCAGCCGTAATCGTAGGAAATGCAGTCGAAGAAGACCCACTAGGCTCTCGAGGTTTGGGAGCAAAGCTACCGGAATGTGTAGGAGCAGAACTACCTGAACGTTGAGATCTTGTGGGACAGACCGGAGCAATATGGCCACGCAGACGACATGAGTGGCACTCAATCTTCGGACAGGTAGACCAAGTGTGATCAGGAGATTTGCAAACTCGACATCCAGTACGAGCAGATCGGGACTGGCGAGACACAGCTAAAGCAGAATCAGAACTCGGTGTCTTAACCAATTGGAAACGGGTCTCCTCAAAAGTAATCTCCTGAATGGCAGCATCAAGAGTAGGCAATGGATGTCGATGTAGGAGTGAGGCACGAACAGCCTCATATTCAGGTCGAAGGGCCATCAAGATCTGAATAAGGTCAAGATGGTCCTGACTAATTTGTGACTGCTGGAGACGATAACGAATAGGCTGAACCTGAGCAAGAAATTCATTAACAGACTGACTAAGTTGCTGTCGGGCGGAGCTCATCATGGTCCAAAGTTGATAATAATGAGCAAGACCTGTATTTTGAAAACGAGCAGCGAGGAAATCCAATGTCTCCTTTGCAGTATCAAAAGGAGTCAATTGTACCTAAATCGCAGGTACAGAAGTATTGTGCAACCAAGTAAGAATCTGATGATTCTTACTATCCCAATATTCCAATTTGGCAACATAATCTTCATGCTCCCGAGAGGTGGGATCAACATGCACAAAAGGAGATTGAGAGACAGGTGGTCGGATATCGCCAGTGACAATTCGCCATAACTTCCTACCAATCAAGAAACTTTTCATAGACTGCATCCAAATATCATAATTATCGCCGGACAAGATAGTAGTAATAGGTAAATGAACTTCCATACGCTCCATAACAAAAAAACGTATAAAAATATGTGAATCACGAAATCAAAGCCCAAATAAAAAAAGTAGATCAAACAATCCAATAGGTAGCAGTCGCAAAACGAGATCAACTCCGATGAAAAAACCAACCACACCACGACGTAAGGAACAAAGCAGGAGGCGGTGACCGAAAAAAAAAACGACGACCGGAGAAGGGCGGACGATGGACGGTAAACAGCGGCGGCGACGACTAGGGTTTTGGTTTTGGAAAACCATGCTCTTATACCATGTTAGAAATTTTAGGGGAAAATAATGAGATTGTCTTATTATCGTCAAAATAAGGAGCCTATATATAGGCCATATAAAATAGACTCGATAGATTCAAATCTAAGTAATCTAATCTATGAATAAAATCAAATCTAGATATAAATCTACTAAATTTGAATATCTAAAATATCTCAACATTATATATATAATTATAATTATAAATAAATAAAAAATTAATTTAAAATATATAAATAAAATAATTTTAAATTTCTCTATAATTTATATATAAATTAAAAAAAAATAAAACAAACGAGCTCGAACGAGCTTAATCGAGCCGAAACGAGACAAACACGAACACGAGCTAAAACAACAGCAATTCTTAACGACCCGAGCTCGAACACTACGAACGAGCTCGAAAGCTTAACGAACGAACACGAGCCTTATTTGCGAACATTAACGAACACTTAAAATTTGACTCGGCTCGAATCGTTCACAGCTCTAGATGGAACCTACAATGAACTCGAATATATATATATATATAAGCTTTTACAATTATTTATTATATTTTTCTAGAAAATATCAAATTAAACATTATTTAAATGAAAATAAATAAAAAAATCAAACTTTTAAACTCATCTAAACTAAAAAAAAAAAAAACATTGTTCTAATAAATAATTTGAAATGACAATGATAAATTTTGAATGTAAAAAATAAATGTTATATACCCCTCCATCCCACCACACTTAACACATTTTCAATTTTAGTTTGTCTCACTGCACTTGACACATTTCTATTTTTATTAACTTTTATCTACCAAAAACATAATTAACAATTACAAATTAATATAATTAAATATATTTTCCAAATATATAAAATTAATATTTAAAAAAAACTAAATATAAATAAAAATAAATCTAAATAGAAGACAAATCGTGTTGAGCTTTGTCATAGCGATTTCCTCCCAAATGCGAAGAAAACTCTAGCCGATCTCTTTCTCCTTCAATGTGCGAGCTGATTTCCGACGATGAAGGCAGATCTGTCGCCGCGCCACCGCGGCCGCCAAGGGTTTCAAACGAGGTAGATACAGACCTCCATTTCTCATTCACGGGTACGTATTTCTCTTCGATTAATTCAGTTGAGGTTGTTCTTGATACTCTTTCCCCTGACGAATCGGCGATGGCGGCGCTTGGTGACGACCCCTTCTCCTATGTGGCTGAAAACCCCCATTGAAAAACAGCCCCATAGCCATGTCGATGGATATGTTTCTTCATTTTGTCCGAATTCACCATTGCGGTTCAAACGCCCGTTAACTATATTTGAAGAGTTTCAATTGCTATAACTTTTTTCATCTTCACACTGTGAGATAATTAAATTTTAATTTTGTACTTATTGTTAAATTTTTTGGTATGAGATTTCTAAGCTAATTTATGTTTCTGTGTTGCCTTCCTTTGTTGGACATGATGAAAATATTGGTTAGTTCTCTTAATTTGATATGATATATTTATTATGAATATGCCTAAATAATATTTTAAAATTACTATCATCACCACTTAAATAAAAAAACTAATAAATTAATATTATAATTCAATATCATTAACTCTTTAAATACAACTATCTTAAATATCATGTCCACACTACAAGAAAAAATCATTTTTGTAACAAAACTTTTTTGTTTCTAAGTCTACTTTTTCCGTTACTAATGACATTAGAGACGGACTTAGAAACGGAATTACGTTAGCTACGTGAACTTTAGGGATGGAATTCTGTTACAAATATATTATTTTTTTGTAGTGCCAACTCAAATGTGTCAAGTGTAAAGGGACGGAGGGAGTATATGAGAAAAATAATTT